TCCGCCTGCCTCTGCCTCCCGAGTGCTGGGATTAAAGGCGCGCGCCACCATCGCCCGGCAAAAGGCACGCCATCTATAGGTAAAAGACAAGTGTGCCCATAGAGAAGGCAGTTTGATACGATGTCCATTTAGCAAAATAATAGTAGTAGATTCTCTTTAGACCTATGACAAGGTTTACAGTATCATGCATGAGTTTCCTCCGTGGAGCAGGTTTTAAAGCTAACCAAAGAGCAGTTGGTTACTCCCCCCAGTTTCCCTCACCCTCCCCACTTCCGCTCCCTCCGCCATAGCATTCATGCCACATTAACTACATCTTTCCAGGCTGGTAGTTGTTGTATCTCACAGGGTACAGAGCTGGGTAATACCACCAATGCCCTTCACTGCTAGCAACCTACATCACATTCCTTGGTACTACGAAAACTGGCCATCAGCAAGGAAGTTTCCAGGTCAGCCGCAGCTTGATTTAACTATGTCCTGTGACGGAAGTGTGCAGGGCATTTTATTCGGCAGGAAGTGTGCAGGGCATTCCATTCGGCAGAAAGACCTTACCCTCTAGAAGGACGGATTCCACAGCTTGTCCTCTTTCTTCCACATGTTCACACCATGCAATGCACACACGCACTCACACGAGTGCATACACACACATACATACATGAACTCATAACACAGATAAAAAAATTTTTAAAAAATGAAAATAAACAAAAAAGTCCACAATGTTTGACCACGGGAGACTATAAGTGAAGCCCGCAGTGAGTTCCTCTTTGAAGAAACCCTTGTAAAATTCCAAACACGAGATGGTTTTGTTTGTTTGACTGGAAAAGGAAATCTTTTCTATCTAGTTACAAAGAAGTTTTAGAAACTATGTTAAGAGAGCCTGGTGTGGTGATATACTCCTCTAATCCCAGACCTTGAGATGCTGAGGTAAGAAGATTGCAAGTTACAGGCCACCCTGGGCTCCATAGGGAGGCCTAGTCTCAAACAATAGAAAACAAAACACACCCAAACCACAAAGCAGTCAAAAAGGAAAAGAAAACAGGCATTATCTACTTATCATCTATCTACCTGTCTATCTACCTGCCTATCATCTATCTGCCTGTCTACCATCTAGCTGTCTGTCTCTATGTACCTATCTATCTACCACCTACCTATCATCTATCTAACTATTTACCTATCTACCTACATATCCAATTTCTTGCAATTATTGTTCGTTTTTGTTTTTGAAACAGGGTCTCAAGCCCAGACTGCAGCGGAACTCACTATTATAGCACAGGATGGCCTGGGGTGATCCTTCTGTCTCAGCCTTGTGAGTGTTGAATTACAGACTTGAGTTACCATCCCTAGCTATATTATCAAATGTAATGTCCTTGCCAGTTGTGTGTGTGTGTGTGTGTGTGTGTTTGTGTGCGCGCACACATGCGCTTGCTCATATTTCCAGACGGTTCTCTCTATATTGCTCAGTCTGGCCTTGAATTTGGTAAAATGCAGAGTCGGGCTCACTATGCCTTTGGGATGTCAGCTCCCAGTTACATAAACTTGTTTGGTTTTTTTAGTGTAAATGGAGCAGCCCAATCATGGCATTTAATGGGGTTGTAACATTTGCTTGCACTCCCAGAGCCTACAACAGGAAGCAGCTACCTCTGGGGAAACTGGGAATGGGGAAGTAGGGAGATAATGGTTATTATTCTTTTACAAAGAAAACATGGAAACATATCCATAAACGTAGAATGAATAATGTGAACAGAGGACACTGTGCTCCCATCTCCCCACTTTCTCAGCTCTCTTGGTTGGTATTGCTAATGAATTAATTTTCTTTTTTATTTTTTTTTTTAAAACAGTCTCATGTAGTCCAGGTTTGCCTTGAACTTGCTTTGTATCAGAACCTGGTCTTGAACTCCTCCTGACCCGCCTACTCTTGAATTCTTGATCTTCCTGCTTCCACCTCTCAAGTACTGGGATTACAGGCATATGCACGCCACCATACCTACTGCATATAGTACATAGTACTTCATATCCACTAAGTGCATTAGTGCATTCTTTTTTTTTTTCCGAGGTTTCTCTGTAGCTTTGGAGCCTGTCCTGAAACTAGCTCTTGTAGACCAGGCTGGCCTCAAACTCACAAAGATCTGCCTGCTTCTGCCTCCCGAGTGCTGGGATTAAAGGCATGTGCCCAGCTAGTGAATTCTTGATAATATTCTCAGAGCTCTGTTTTATTTAATACTTTCTCTTTACTGTCACTGAGGTCTTTCTTCCACACCAACACTGCGGGAACTGACAAGGTCACGTGTGGATGGCGAACCATCACCTTTGTATTTACTGCATGATCTTGAAGGAGACCCCCGGGCTTAGCTGGGCCGTGGTGGTACACATCTTTAATCTCAGCACTCTGCAGGCAGAGACACGTAGATCTCTAGGAGATCAAGGCAAGCCTGGTCTACAGAGCTAGTTCCAGTACAGCCAAGGCTACGTAAAGAAACTCTGTCTCTAGAAACTAAAAATCAAAAACACAAAAACAAAAACAAAGGTTTAAAAAAAATTCATAAGCTTTCTCCACCTTCATTTCTTCAACAGAAACATGAGTGTAAGCTAGAATGTAGTCTCAGCCCCTCTGGGAGTGGACATCCTCATTCCTCAGCTCTGCTTTTCTCCGAAATGGTTTCTTTCTTTCTTTCTTTCTAAACTTCATCTATTTATTTTGTGACAGCCTGGGCACCTGTAACCCAAGGTGTCCTTAAACTCAAGACATGGCCTTGACCTTCTGACTATGAGGGTTTTTTTTTTTTTTTCAAACTACTCATCATCAATTCTAGGTCTGAAAGATCCTAGAAGCAGGCCCAGGGTGGAATTACTCATTTACTTTGCAGAATAGTTAATCGACCATGTTGGTTATAGATAGACATTTAATCCCATCAGTCAATATGATGTGGGTATTCTTGCCTTCTATACATGATGAAACTGAGGCCAGGGAGGTCAGTTTAGGTCCTTAGGCCTTGTAGCTAAGTACATCAGTCAACCTAGGCAGGGTGTAGAGAACTTGTCCAACTTGTGTTAAGGCTCTGGGCTAAGTTTACAAAACTGTTGAAAGAAAAAGCAGAAAAGCTAGAAGCTGGATATGGTGGTGCTTGCCTTTAATTCCAACACGGGGGAAGTGGCAGGAAGATCTTTGTGAGTTCAAGGTCAGCCTGGTCTACGTACAAGTAACAGTTTTTAAATTAAATTTTTTAAAAAAAATAATAATCTTTACTTCAGAATATTCTGAGTACATAGCTATCTTCTTTTACTAATTTCTAGCTTTCTGTGATGTTTTTGGGGACAAGATCTCAATATGTACCTATGGATGGCCTGGAACTTACTACATAGACTAGACTTACCCTAAACTCAAAGAGGTCTGCTTGTGTCTCCCTGCCAAATGCAGGGTCACTTGAACCACCATGACCTACCAATGTTATCATCATCTATAAACTCTACCAGCACATACAAAAGCAAACACAAGAAAGGATTTCTTCAAAATTCATATGCTTTGGGTAGTGGAGGAACAGGTCTTTCTGCAGACAGGAGGCTCAAACGATGACCTGTAGAAGTCTCACGGGTGATTTTACACACAGTTTGAAGACGACTCCTATGGGATACAGGTTTCCTCAAAGTCTGGGTAAACAAAGTGCACTATTACTTTATGAATCTCAACACAGCTGGAGTTTCAAATTGAAGGCTAGAGGGGTTTAGACGGATAGTGAGACTGTCTGCTCTCCAGGATACTGGATATGCCATGAGCTTTCTTTATATCCTGGGTTACGGGACCTGAAGACACTATGGCCTTGGGAAGCAATGACACTTTGAATGAGATCATTTAAAGTGGACCGTGAAAATCTGAGTGTGATAGTCTGGGCAGTGCCCAGGCTCTTGTGTCTGTGGCACCTTATACTTGGACTGTAGGGATCTGTTTTTACCTTCAGGGTAAACGACAAACGGGTAAGAAACTAAGTCCTAATTTAATGGTGGAATGTTTTTAAAAAATAAGTTTTGGTGCAGTGCCAGGAAAGGAAACCTTTAGTGACATTACCGTGTGATTATTCTAAAAACATTGTTTGAATAGCATCGTATTGGAGCAAAAAGTGCGTAAGGTGCTTTCTAGAACTTTCTCCCCAATTTCTAAAACACAGACTTTATGCCTAATTTAAGAATTCCAAGTCCTGTCAAAACCAGCGGTTTAAGGTTTATTCCCAGTGATTTTACAATTCCCAAGCCCGGTTACAGATCGCAGCTACCTGTCACGAACTCCAATCGCATACAGTGGAAAAAAAGAAAAAAAAAACACATCCTTTTCTATAACAAGTGAAGGGGTGTATCTAATGTTGTAAATTGCTCACGCCTAATGTCCTGAACAGAAACCTAGTCTGGGATTTTTCTCATAGGCGTGACCTCTGCTCCTGGCAAGTAAATTGCCAGAGGGAGAAACAAGTGTCAGCCCGAAGGAAAACCCTGTTAGGGGATTTAAAAATTTTTTTTCTTTCTTTTTCTTTAAACCGATCACTTTTGAGGAGGAGTCAAAGTCCTCGCCAGGAGAGTACCATCTTTCCCCCCCACACACACCGGCCACCTCATCCCCACCCCCCAGCCCTTTCCTAAAGCCCCACTGGGGAGAACGTCCCCCCCTCCCCGGTACCCCCCATCCCGCCCGGCTCCCGCGGCTCCCCCTGGCTCCGGGTCCCCCAGGCCCCGCCGCCGGGGTCGCTCGGGGCTCCGGGCCGCGGCCCCCAGGTGCGGCGGGGGAGGGGCGCGGGGCGGGGCGGAGAGGAGGAGTGGCGCGGAGCGTGTGCGGCCGGGGAAGCCATTGCCTGGTTAATAGTTGCTGTTGCTGCACTTCCGCTTCTCTCCCAGCGAGAGCGAGACACGAGTGGCCAGGCCCAGCCGCAGCCGCAGCAGCAGCCGCCGCGGCGGCACGGAGCAGCCAGACACAAAGAGAGGTGCGGGGGGCCCCCGGGGCGGGCGGGCGGGCGAGCGGGGCCTGGGGCCGCGGGGCCAGGGGCGGGCGGGCACGGGCGGGCCGCGGGGCAGCAAGGGCCGGGCCGGGGGCGCCGAGGGCCCGGGCGGCGGGGATGGGGCGGCGGGGACCGCGCGAACTGTCAGCGCGGCCCGGTCCCCCCGGGGGGACCCGCCCGCCCGGGGCGCATTGTGCGAGCGCAGCCCCGCGTGGCCGGGCCTGGCCGGGCGCCGTGTCCCCCGCGGCCCACGCGGCCCACGCTCGGCTTCCTCACCCACTCTCCCGGCTCGGCTAGTCCCGACCTCGCCGAACTCGAGCGGACGCCGGGAGGCCTCGGGGACCGCGGCCGCGGCTCCCGGCCCTCCCCGGGCCGCCCGCCCCCCCCCCCCCCGCGCGATCGCGGCCCCCGCGTCCCTTCGGCCGGTGTGGCGGTGGGCCCCGATCCTCTGCAGGGCGGCGGGGGCGGCCCGGCCCTCGCCCTCCTGACAGCGGAGTTCCCTCTTTGCGGCGCCTGCATGGTCTGTGTTTCTGTTTTGTTTCCTCCCCCTGCAGGGGCCGTTCGCGGGGTGGGGTGGGGGGTTCGCTATGTCGGATGACGATTCGAGGGCCAGCACCAGCTCCTCTTCATCTTCGTCCTCCAACCAGCAGACCGAGAAAGAAGCCAGCACCCCCAAGAAGAAGGAGAGTAAAGTCAGCATGAGCAAAAACTCGAAGCTCCTCTCCACCAGCGCCAAGAGGTACCCCACTCCCTTCCCCTCAGGCGTCCTGGCTTCCCAGTTGCCTCGTGCTGCATGTCAGGGAGGGTGGCTTCAACGACAACGTTCTCCTGTGTTCTCTGGCAGGAAAATGGGGCATGGGAATCCCACCTGTTTTCTCTGCTGCTTGCTGTTTCTGGTTTTGTTAGTACCCTTCCTTGTCCATATGCAGGAGTTCTGGCTGGCCTCGTCCATGCCTCGTTGAAGTTTCAAGAATCCTCATTACTTTTATGAGTGAGTCTGATTGTGATTTCAGAGTCCTCTTCCTAGTAATCACGAATCTGCGACTTCCCGGAGGCTGGCATCCTCCTTCATGATTAAGGAGACCTTCCTGGGAACTCTCAATGCATTCTGACCATGGCTGCTCCTCACCTGTTGCAGGGGTGATGTTTTCTGAATAGAGTTTTCTCCTTTGTAACTTGCTTAAGGAATAACCAGCTCCCATTAGTGGTTAAGAAATTGAGGTGGTGTTTTCTGGTGGAATTTGAAGAGCCTTTTCCGGTTTGGGGCAAATGAATGGATCAGTAAATGTAAAATTATTATTTCAGCTATTTTGGGGGAGGGGGTAGGGTTTTTTTTATTGTTGTTTATTTTTTTTCTGTTTAAGAACTTCCGTTCGATAGTTTTCAGGGAGACTTTGTTGTCGTGTTTTCAGACAGGGTCTTATTCCATAGCCAAGGCTGGCCTTGAACTCACAGCACAGCTCCTGCCTCAGCCTTCCTGATGGCTAGGACACTACACCCAGGGTTAGTATCTTATGTAAAAAGACAGGTGAATGCTTCACCTCTGTCCACCTTAAGTAACACTCTCTGATCCCTGTAGTGTGAATCATCTATAGCAGGTACCCAGGAATCCCCTGACAGCCTTTCATTAATCCATCTCTTTTCATTGAGATAGCTGACCACAGTCAAGAACGGAAGCTGTGGGCTAGCTTGGGGGATATCATTCTTTAAAGAGTTTAAGATGAAGTGGGGTATCTAAGTGGTTTTGGCTCTGTCCGTTGAGTGGTGCGCCTGGAACTCAGAGATTGACAGTTGGTTCTGTCATTCTCCCTGAAACTCACAGGCTTGGTGTGCTGTTTTAGTGATCTGACTGGCTGGTGGGGTGACTTTAGCCCATCTAAATAGTTAGCGTTCAGGTCTTGAGAGAGGATTGAGATTGCCTTGGTAAAAGTGTTGGCGTTTTTCAGAGGGTTGGTTTGATTGTATCTCTGGCTCTTCAGAGTCTTGACTGGCTCTTTTGATTTAACCCAGGTGAAACCTCTAGGAGCCAGAGTTCTGTCCTTATTGCTAAGGATGGTCCTTCTGTCCCCCAGCCCTTCTAAGCTCTCCATCCTCTCTCATTCTGCTTCTGAGCTGCCCCTTAGGTCGGTGGAGCTTTTGTACTGTGTTAGGAGGCCCGTGGTGTGCTGTGACGACAGTGGAAGGGAGATGGACAGGTGTTAAATGTCATTTGCTTTGTCAGTGTAAATCATTAGATTTCCCCATGGATACAGTTTGCCTATTTTAACAAAGTTAAAAACTTAGTTCTGGGCATGGTAATCCAGGCCTTTTGTCAACACAAGCCCTTGGAAACACAAGCAGACAGGTAGATCTCAGGTGAGTTCAGAGTCAGCCTGTTCTACATAGAGAGTTCCATGAGGTCTGGGTATAGATAGGAAGACCATCTCATAAAAAAACAAAATAAACTATTTAGTAGCTGAGATGGCAGTGTGCTGGCCTAGCGTGCAGGAAGCCCTGGACTCATTCCCCAGCACCATCAGGCATGGTAGCACAGACTTGTAATCCCAGGGCTCCGCCAGGCAGGAGGAGCAATTCACAGTCATCCTTGGCTATGCATACTTGAGCTGGAGACAGGGTCTCCTGTAGTCAGGGTCTCATGTGGTCCAGGCTCAGCAATCTGAATGACAATAGATGTTTTTGGAGGGTAGGAAGAAGCCAGCTATAATGTACCAAGCACTGCCATTTTTAGATGGCATTTCTTCCCCAGTAAAAGGGAAAACAAATTGAATGGTGACCGAGGGAAGTTCTACTGTCAGAAGACATCCATTGTCGTTCTGATTGCCAGCCTAAGACCTTATTTGGGAGCAGCTGGTAAAGAAATGTGGGAAGTAGAAATAGAAGCGGGAAATAGTAAATAATAATTTTGCCTGTACACGAACATGTTTTATGTATCTTTTAATGCAGCACATTTAGCTTCCTAGACACCGTGCTGACACAGTAGCTATCTGTGTTAAACAAAGCTAAGGTTAGCATCAAAAGACAAAAAATGTATCTAGGAAAGAATGAACAGGAGGATCAGGACCGGTGTTTGACGAGCCTGCCCTACATCACTGGTAGATGTAGAATCTAAATACACTGGTTTGGAAGGGGCTTGTGGACCAGGAGGTGGTGTGAAAATGAAGCCAGAGTCCCAGATTTAGGAATTTCATTCACTGTGGAAAGTGGTTTCTAAACCAGGGGCAGAGGAAAGCCCCAGTGGGAAGTGTGGATCTCGCTTCACTCTGGGACAGGCCTTTGATTCCCACTCTGGGAACGGTGCACAAGGTAGTGGTTAATGGAATGGGTAAAACTGCCTGGTACTGCCCTCGTTAAAAATCACATCATAATTTTAGTTTTGCGTGCAATCGTGTGGCATCGTAATTTTATTTTGTGTGTATTCGTGTGGTATGTGTGTTCAGGCATGTCAAGGCACATGTGGAGGTCAGAGGCCAAATTGCTGGAGTCAGCCCTCCTTCCATGTGTAGGTTCCAGGGATTGAACAGGGGTCAGCACTTGTGCTGACAGGCACCTTCGGCTGCTGAGCCATCTCACCAGCGTCTAAGTTCTAAAGGAGCAGCTGTCTTTACAGCTCCAAAGGAGGACATGTTTGCTTTCTGACAGATCTGAAAATGGTCAATTCCAATAGGTGCAAGAGTCAGGAAACTGGTGCTTCGGACTTGAGTCTGACATCCTGATGTGAACGAAACAGATGCAGATGTCTAGGGACTGAAATGCCTACTGGGAGCCGTAGAATTCAGCAAGGCATTGATAGATGTCATAGAGACTGGGTGTTCTAAACTGGACCCCACTTGTAGAGACCGGAAGTCCCCTCAATAGGAAAGTTTGAAGAACTTCCCAGTCACTACTCAATTTATTTTTCCTTTTCACGTGGAAGAAGTGCTTGCTAAAAATGTCAGCGCGTTATAGCTGGCCTCTTCCTACTCTCGGAGAACTTTCTTGGGAAAGGGAAAAACATCCATTGTCATTCAGATTGCTGAGTGTGTTGGCCTTATTTTTACTACCGAGCTGCCTTGGTGGATTTTTTTTTAAGTTGTAACAGCCTGGTAGGAGGAGAAGTTATAAAAATAGTTTCCCTTTAGGAGAAGCAGCTTAAGGCCCAAAGTTTGTCGTTTCCATTGGTGCCCTAAGCGCCTAGGTAAGCAGAAGACAAAGACCGGCTCGGTGTGAACTGTCAGTGGCTTCGGCCTCAGGCTGGGGGATGGGCTCTTTGTGAGGTGCCGAAGGCCAGGCGAGCCCGCGGCCGGGTACCGGGAAGTTCGGGGCTGGCGGCGGGCAGCGGGCAGGCGCGACGTGGGCGCAGGTGGCAATGCACCTGTACGGGGCGGCCGGGGTCCCGCTGCCCTCAGCTCCACCGAGCACTTCCTGGACCTCTCGACCCTGGCCGGTGGCGGTCACTAGGGCCCGAGCGGCCATATTGGCTGTGCTGGGAGGTCACTGCTCCTGGTGCAGGTCCGGGCCTGAGAAGTACCGGCCTGCGGGGGGCGCTGTGCTGGTGTGCGGGTGCCGGCCTGCGGGGGGCGCTGGTGTGCGGGTGCCGGCCTGCGGGGGACGCTGTGCTGGTCTGTGAGGTCCAGGCCTAGGGGAGGTGTCCCTACCTGAGGAAGGGTGCTGGTCAGGGTCTGCTGGGAGACTCAGTTGTGGGCCTGCGTGCAGAGTCACCGAGTTTAGGGGACCAAGTGGCCTGGTACTACATACCGATGGTCCTGGCCAGAGTGGAGGGGGGACGACAACTATTCTTAGGTAGAAAACACCCAGCACAACTGCCCTAGTATGCTTGGCAGTATTGAAAGCCCGATGCTGTCGAGGGTGGGAGAGATCTAGAGTTGTGCCCTGCACTGGAAAGTCTCCCCAGCCTGGGAGCCCTGGGTTGCCTCTCCCTCAGTGGATAGAATAAGGTGGGCTGCAGACCTGGTTCTGGGAGGGGCCTCCAACTAACTTTCTGTTTCCTGATCTCCCAGGATCCAGAAGGAGCTGGCAGACATCACTTTAGACCCTCCGCCAAACTGCAGGTGAGCTGCCTATGGAGTATTGTCTTAAAATTCTCCTAGCTTCTGTCTTGTATTTTCTTTTCTGTTATAGAATTTTGCTTCTCTTCTGTGGTCTGTGCGTGTTTGGTGCTAACGCCAAATATCCGAGGAAATGTATACGTATGCTGTGGGTGTGGTGTGCAGCAAGCTCAGGACTGTTGAGAAGGACTAGAGTTCCACGATGTGGGCGCCTATGTGTATGAAACAAACTGCAAAGTTAAGGTGAAGGAGTACCCTTTTTGTAAGCTGGCTATGGGTGATGTCAGCCTTTAGAAATTTGGTCTAGAAATTGCTCTGCTGGAATAACCTCATTACAGGTGTGATATGCTAGAGCTTGGCATGAAAAGAAACACGAGATCCTCAGGCTTACTCTGTTGTAATTTTGTGTTGGACTTTTGGCAAAGCAATTCAGGAAATAACTTGTGGCTTTAACAGAATAATTTTTGTTTTAAATTATAAATTTAAACCCTTAAAAGATGGTGGGGTTTTTTTTTGGCTATTGTGTAACACAGACTGAGTATATTTGTGAACATTTCAGCGTGAAAACTAGCCAGCTTCCAAAGGGTGTGCTGACCACTTGGCTTTCTTTTTGCGTCGTTGAGTCAAGGTGGAAGGAAGTTGTGATGCTTTGTGTAAATTGATAGTGAATCATGAAGAACCAAAAACTTTAGTAAAACCAGGATCATCCTTGAATGGAAGGCATGCTTTCATTGGGCTTTCAATTTACTGGTAGGAGTTACTGGCGAATACTTGCTAGATATATACAGTGAGCATGCACAGACATTCAGGATGGAAGCTAAGTAAAGTATTTTGCTTTTAAAACACTCATGTTTTAAAACCGTGATTGGTGACTTAAGAACAAATTTCGTGTTGCTGTTTTGTTGACTTATTCTGTGTGTGTGACTGCATGACGTGTGCATGTGGAGCTTAAAGACAACTTTGTGGAGTTCGTCTCTCCCCGGGTTGCCAGGCTTGAGCTGTGAGCTGTCGGGCCCACCCTAGTGATTCTGTTTTGTATGAATTTGTTCTTAGTGTTGATCAGATTTGTAATACTTTTTAAAATTTTGTTCTGATTTGTAAGAAAGTCATTTTGAGTGTCAGGTTCTTTTTGGTGTTTCCCTTGAGACATTGTCTCAAACTTGATGAGGATGACCTCAAGTTTCTGATCCTCCTGTCTACCTTGTCCCCAGTGCTGGCATTACATGTGTGAGCTACTGTACTGGCTTTATGCCAGGCTAAACTCTGCGCTTCACGTGTGCACTCTAGCAACGGAGCTACATCCTCAGTAAGATTTTAAACTGTGTTCTTTATTTATTTTTTTAAAATATTTATTTATTTATTATGTATACAACATTCTGCCTTGATGTATGCCCGCACCCCAGAGCAGGGCGCCAGATCTCAGTACAGATGGTTGTGAGCCACCATGTGGTTGCTGGGAATTGAACTCAGGACCTCTGGAAGAGCAGCCAGTGCTCTTAACCTCTGAGCCATCTCTCCAGCCCCCTAAACTGTGTTCTTTAACTGAGCTGCTAATTATTCTCTAGGATTTCTTTTGTAGCTAATAATCTTTTCAATGGTTGAGAAAGTGGAGAAACAGTAAGAGCTGTTTAGATGAAGGCCTGAACGTCCCTAGGTGGTTTGTGTGGAGTCATGGATGTTCCCTGCGGTAGGCCTGAGCTGTGGCTGCCACTGCTGCTGGTGTTGTCTCCCGTGTGCGTGTCTCTTGTGAGTTCACACAGCTGATCAAGTTAGAAATCAAGGCTTCAAAGCTAGCATCATTTACTAAAACGCAAATGGCTTTCTTGTGAACCAGTGCTATCAAATTGAAACCTGCAAACGGTTTGGAGATCTCCTGAGATTGCTCTGCGGAAGCAGGGTAGGCACCTGAGCTCTCGTCATAGCGGCAGGGGTCATCTATGAGAGGCTTGTGCTCCTGAAGCCTAAAGGACGTTTTCTCTTTGTAAATTCCTCATCATCACCCCTTCCAGCGAGCCCTCTGCCGTGGCTGGGGCAGTCCCCTGGGTGGTGAGTGACAACTCTTACGGCACTTAACATTTTGGGAAGAGTACAATTTCCAAGAACATACTAGGTATCTTTATTTTGAGAAAAATATATATATATACACACACACACATACATACATGCAGTCTTTTAAAAATCACAACTGCTTTACTTCCTGGAGATATCCCCACTAGGCTTTCAGCCCCGTGGTTCTCAAGCTCCTTAATTCTGCACAGTTCTCCATGTTGTGGTGAGTGACCCCCCAGCCATAAAATTATTTTTGTTGTTACTTCATAACTGTAGTTTTGCCACTGTTATAATAATTTAAATATCTTATATGCAATCCCTGTAAAAGGTTTCTTTGTTTGTTTGATCTCCCCCCCCCCCCCAGGAGTCTTGACCCACAGGTTGAGAACTGCTGTTTTCAGTGGTCTCAGTTTGAGTTTCTATTGTTGCTTTCCTGTCTTTCCACCCTGTGTTGTGCTTTACTTTCTGTCCTGGGCTCTTGTCTAAGTTTGGTCTTATATTTTGTGATGCTACCTGTATGGGATTTAAAACCACTTTTTAAAATAACATTTATTCGTGTGTTTATACATGAGGGTGCACATGGGCCACAGCATATGTATGGATGTCAAAGGATAATTTGCAGTAATCCTACCATGTAGAGCTTAGGGATTGAACTCGGGTTATCAGGTTTGGGGCAAGTGCCTTTACCTGTTGAGCCATCTGACCTGCCCCTCTTTAAGAGTTAAGTATTTAATATCTTGATGTGTGGCATGAATCTAATTGGTCTTAATAATAAAAACCCAGATATTAGGGGGTAAAAGCTGAAAGATTAGAGAATCAGAGGTGCCAGCCACTAGTTCTTACCTTAGACCAAATGGGGTATCCTGTCTTTACAAGTGCTCAGACTGAATGCCTTATATTCCTCTCTCTGCCCAACCATATCCCTTCCTGTTGGGATGAAAGGCGTATGATAACCACATACTGGGATTAAAGGTGTGAGCCACCACCACTGGGCTGTGTTTCTCTTTGAGACTGGATCAATCTATTGTAGCTCAGGGTGGCCTTGACCTCTCAGAGATTGATTCAACTGCCTCGCCTCCCTAGTGCTGGGCTTAAAGGTGTGTGCCACCACTGCCTAACCTCTGTGGCTAATTAGTGGCTCCCTCCACACTCTGATCCCCAGGCAAGCTTTATTTGTTAGATCACAAACAAAATATCACCACATTGATGGACTTTATTGTTGGAGACAGAATAGATAGTTTAGTTTAGATGTTTTTTGAAGTTAGCTTCCAATTAAGATACATGAATTAAATGATATATTAAATGTGTACATTAAATTTTTTTCTGGTATAATTTTTTTCCAGATAAGAACTCAGTGTAGTTCCTAGTGAAATTGTAATTTCATCAATTATAAATTATATTGGATAAGCTGAATAATTGGCTTTCATTTTATGAATTTCTGATATAGCTTGCCCTTTTTAGATATAGCTTACCCTTTCTAGATATAGTTTACCCTTTCTAGAACTTCTTTCAGGCAGCATTCAGTTTTAAATTTAGGCACATCACTTTCTTAAACATATGAGGTAGCACACAAAGTTTGGAATTCAAAGTTACCGAACTTTAAAATTATGTGAATTTCATTTGCTAAAGATATTGTCTTAAAAAAGCTAATAACTAATGCTGTGTTTTGTATTGAGTAGATTAATTTTATAAATTATGCGTGTTTAGCCGGGCGGTGGTGGCGCACGCCTTTAATCCCAGCACTCGGGAGGCAGAGGCAGGCGGATCTCTGTGAGTTCGAGGCCAGCCTGGTCTACAAGAGCTAGTTCCAGGACAGGACCCAAAAGCTACGGAGAAACCCTGTCTCGAAAAATCAAAAAAAAAAAATTATGCGTGTTTATGAGTATGGGTTTGTGTATGTGCATGTGGTTGATGGAGTCCAGAGAAATCATTCATCTCCTGGAGCTGGAATTAGAGATGATTCTGGGCTGCCTGTCATAGTCTCTGGAAATGGAATTTGGGTCCCTTCAGATCAGCGAGACTCTCCTGAGTCTCTGAGCCATCTCCAGCCCCGGAGACTTTTTAAAATACAAATTTCTTTGTATTGCCATGTATATGAAATTCTTACTTTCAAACATCAAGCTATTTAGTATTGTGTATGTGTGACTCTCTCTCTACCACTCTTTCTCTCTGTGTACATAGTGAATGAAATATTTCTGCACATTGTTCAAGTTTTTTCTCTATCATTGACTCTATTCTTTTAGGAGAAAAGTGGGCTGTGATTCTTGTAATGATTCCGTAAAGCTTGACTTTTTTGGGATAGAAAGATCATGTGTTCTAGACTGCTCGTGAACTTCGGCCACAGGGTCAGTTCTGTAGCTGTTATTTGCAATTCACGGCGCATACTTTGCTAAACTGACTAGCTATGGTCAATTAAATTATAATTTAAATTCTAAGCATGGGTGTCTTTAGACAGCATGTTTACTCATCATAGCTGGCATGTTTTGCCCAAGTCCTTTCTACTTTAGTTTTTTTTTTTTCTACTTTAGTTTTATTTAATGGGAATACCTGTATTATAAGTAAGTCTCTAGCTAGTGTAAATGGAAATCTAAAATTCAGAATTTTGATTGATGTTATTTTAGGTAAAAGTATTTTTGAGACATTAAGCATTTTAAGCACGAGAAGAGGTTAATAAAAATAAATTTTTCTTTATATAATTTTATTAGATTTGACCAGTGTTTTTATTTTACTTTATTTAAGTATGTAAAGTTAAGTTAGGACCTTCACTACCAAGTTCCTTTTAAGATGATTTGAGGTGAAGAAAAGAAAATAAGCAGTTCGTCTTTCTTGTAATTCTCAGTCCTCTTATCCCTGCAGTGATGCTGCATTTGTGTTTTAATAAATAAAGTTTGCCTATAGATCAGAGAGTAAAACAGCCAGGCACACTGGTCAGCCTTACAGACAAACCAGGTAGT